AGTATGCGTCCCATTTCCGGAACATGTAAATCTATTTTCGTTGGTTGCCGAATATAGTATTTATTTTTAGTTTGTTGATTTGTACATTAATCATTTTCAGTTTTAAGTTTGTTTTTTTTTTTCAATTGATTTACACTTTGTTATGTCAGAGCCTTTGATTACTTGCTATATGGTATGTTTTTTTCTCATTGTTAAAGTCCGAACGACGTTAATTGCTAACTTCGACGTCCTTTTATCTCTGTAAGAAAAACGTCTTATTAGCAATGATACTGCATCTCCTTATTTTATAAGTATGTGACATTGAGTAAATAATCGAGTTTACTGGATATGGCAATCTTAGCGTTTATTTTAAATTGAATCAATTGATATTGTACATACCTTTTTCGCTTTCGTTGTGTATTTTAGAATACAGTTCACGATATGTCACATTATGTCTATGTTCTAATTGGCCTAGATATTTGTTTGTATGATTTTGTCCATCTTCTTATTTCTTCAAACTGTTTTCCGTTGTACTGTATCTTTCCTTAGCAATATTTTCTGACTGGTTCATATTGTTTCTAATTTGGCTGATGATAAATGTTATATTTGTAACGTAATTTTCTGTTGTTTGTGTTTTCTTGTATAAAGCTAAAAAGTCCTGACTTCTTGCCTGACTAATGCTTTCCAATTGATGGGACTTAAAGTTTAAGGTTTGCACTTCTTTTTGTAGAGAGTTCAAGGTCTGAAGTTGATTTTCATTCCTCGGATTACGCAAGTAAACTATTTCCTGTTGCAATTGATTAAACCTCTGATTTGTTTTGTTACAAGTATCGTAGCACTGGCTTAGACTGTCATCTGTTTGATTCTGTCTGTCTTCCAAATTCTTCACTTCTTTTTGTAGAGAGTTCAAGGTCTGAAGTTGATTTTCATTCCTCAGATTACGCAAGTCAACTATTTCCTGTTGCAATTGATTAAACCTTTGATCTGTATTGTTACATGTATCGTAGAACTGGCTTAGACTATCATCTGTTTGTTTTTGTCTGTCTTCCAAATTTTTCAAAGCTGCTTCCGTCGTATCGAATTTTTCTTTCGAAACGAGTTCTGACATGTTCATGTAATTATGAATTTGACCTATGGACAATGTATTGTTCGTAACATAGTTTGCTGTTATTTGTGTACTCCTGTATAAAGCTAAAAAATCCTGACTTCTAGCTTGACTTCTGCTTTCTAATAGATTTGTCTTGGCTTTTACGGTTTTGCACTTCATTTTTGAGAGAGTTCAATGTCTGGAGTTGGTTTACTGTCTTTAGATTACGCAGGTCAATAACTTCCTGTGACAGTTCAGTTAAACGTTGATCTGTTTTGTTACGGGCATGGTCGAAGATATTGTACTTTGTTTCCAAGGCGTTATACTTTAGTTCAATGACAATGATACTTTTGGATAAATTTGTAATAACCTGACTGTCAACTAGGCAAATGCATGTTTTGTTAACCGGTAATGCAGTTATCTGTTCCACCGACGATATTCTGCTTTCAAGCTGTTTTATGTAGTTTTCCATTTGAGAAAATTTACTATCCTGATCGACAGAAGCTTGATGTTTTTCCAGTTCGGCAACTTTTTGTTCTAGTTTATATCGATGTTGTTTTTCGTCGGCTATGAGTTCAATAAGAGACAGGAATTGTTGATTGGTTATACCTGAACCACCGCTTAATTGTGGACCAATGGTACTTTTGTTGAAAAGAAAACCTCTAGTGATCCAGCTTTTGAACATAATAAGCACAATCAAAATAAACCAGCGGGTTACGTTCATTTTGGTATTATGAACCGACAGTCTGTGAGTAATTAAATTAAAATATCAAATCCGTTGTTTCAATGATGTCCATGCAGAACTTGATAAAAATAAACGTTAAAATAAAAGTATATCTTGCAATTTACTTGTATCGTCATGTGGTAATTATTTACACTGAAACTATGCAAATACATTTATCTTTTTGGTGATTAAATAAATGGTGTCCTATATATTGATATGAATTTGTCATTATTATTACTTACATACACACGGTTTGTAATTGTGTAAGCTAACTTTATTATGTATAACGTTTTCAAAATTCAATATCATTGATTGAATTACAATTACGTTGTCAAATGTTCAGTAAATTAAATTAATGATTACACCACTTTCAAAAATAATCAATTGAATTAAGGATTGAATTAGCAAGTTATCATGATAACATCTGATTATGATGAATTTCAAAATAACCCATTTCTGTGATGTTTATTAATAAAAGCTAATACAAATCATTAAAATAATATTTTGTTGGTATCTAATCACATGTGTATCCATATTTCATAATATCTTAACATTCTTAAAGAAACAAAACTATTTTAACAATTAATATATATATATCTAATATGAATAATAAGAATGTTAAGATATGAGATATCGTTTAAGACATGATATATTTACCATAAACACAATTTTAGATTTTAAAATCAAAATGTAATCATCAAGAAATCAGGATTACAAGGTATTTTGAAAAGTAATTGACCAAACATGTTGATCATGCAATAATATTTTGGATTTTTTTATTATAGAATTCTTATGTATTTCAAATGTTGGTTTTGTAACAAGCCTTTGTACATTTATATATTTGACTTTATTTTAATAGTTTGATGCATTGTCTTTCAACACTGTAAACATCCTAATAGTATTCAGTAATTCACTTAATTTCCATGTTACATGTACTTTTAACTTTCTCATATTTTCGATTTTCAAAGGCTACTGTTTTTACGTATTTAGGGCAAAACGATGTTTGGACTGTTGCCATTGCAATGCGTATTATACAGAGAAAAAAAAATTAACACATCTACTTGTGAACTTTTGATAAAGGGCCAAAAAATGAGTTGTGTAACATATCAGGAACTATTTGGCTGTCAATTAGTTATAAGATTTGAAAAAAAACGTTATTTTAGTTGCGAAGGTCTCAATTTCATTACATTTTTCACTTAACAAATTGAATGTAGACGTTCTATTTCTATGTTCTAAAATGATCTTAAATGACGTCATCGAAAAAAACGGCAGGTACAATGGTGGTCGATTTCGTGTAATGACGTATGTCAGGGGACGAGAGAATTAACTAAACGTTACCAGTGTGTAATAATACACATGTTCAATAAAAACTCTAGCCCTAGGGTAGCTATTTATTTGTCACATTTGTTTACAATATAACCTATTAGGAATAATTCTAAGGACCAAAATCATATTTTTTTTCATATTTCTGTGTTTGCTAATTTCCTATAAATTTTTGAATGAGGCAATTGACAGTCAGTATAAACAAATGAGTACTTTAACCACAATTTATTAATTTACTAAATGTTTGTATTTGTTGCTTAACACTTTTGGTCTCAGCGTACTACATGAAGTTATTTCCAAAACACTGCTGTACACAAGCAAGGTAATATTAGTATACAGATTATTTACGTAATCACTGAAATACATGGCTAAAAATCAGCAGAATTCAAATACGTTGCTAGTTTCAAATACATATTATAATCAGTTTTCGTTTTGAAACGACGTGTATACTACCCATTCTCCTTATATAATAATAAGAAGACAGTGTATGCTTGACAAGGTGAAAACTATTCCTTAACAACAAGAGACAAAGACGTGAAAAATTACAGTTCAGCGAAACCTATTCCGTATACATGGTATAGTACACTATACAAGGACCCAATATCACAATATAATTATTCACGTTATCAGTCAAACAACTGCAAAGCATGCTTCTTGTTTATTTTCAAATTACACTAATTGACTGCAGTACAAATAGAATATCGAGGCGGAGGCAATAAACATGGACTGGGTGATATAAACTGATCCTGAATATAGGAATAAGTTGCACGGAACACACAAAAAATAAAAGAACGAACCTTGACTGCCAGACGAAATGAACAGAATAAAGAAGGAAATTGAAATTGTTATTCAGAATCACCCCCCTCATAATAGGTTTTATCCTAAAGAGTCATGCTGCATGTGTTTTTCGTTTTAAAGGGTATAGAACTCTCCCCAGTCACCAATGCTCGCGTATTACCGCTGTCAGGTTTGGGATGATGTTGGGTCTGAACCTTATAGTCGGAGACACTGGGTCGAGGTTCTATACCATGTGGTTATCTTCCTTACTTTGTTTTAAATTTTAGTGACATATATGAAATGGTACCCCTTCCTTTGTGAATGAGCAATCGTTTAAAATTGTAGCAAAAAATATATACATGTATTAGAAGAAAATGATGAATAAAAATAGTTCGTGTACAAAAAGGTTAAAATCATTATGTATTAGGAATGAGTAATATTGTTTTGCTGAATTTTTAATAAAAATATTAACAAAAATGCCGAACTCCAAGGTAAATTCAAAAAGGGGGAAATCCATAAAGCCCAACAAAATCAAACGTTAGACTATATCAACCAACGGAACGAATGGAAAACACCGCCTAACTAGGTACAGGCATTTATAAAAGGAAACGGTGGATGAAACCTGATTTTCTAGCTAGCCAAAGCTCCAACTTGTCAGACAGATGTTTATAAAACGTAAAACACCGTTAATTCTAATCATAATGTAAGTCGACGTCTACATTACTTGCTTTTTCAAAGGATTTAATTATAACTTTCTTCGGAAGACATCGAAAGAAAAATTATTTGGTTTTGACATTTGTAATATTTCTATGTAATTAACTTCGTTCCGACAGAAATTATCAGCATAAGTTGTTTGAGACTTATTATTATAATCATTCGGGTCGGCGAGTCCCGGATCAATCGGCGGTTTTTTTTTTTCACTGAGAGAAGAATCTGTTTGAAAATCAATTTTTTGATAGTCTATTGAGGTATTCATTTATAAAATTGATTGCACGTCTTACTTAGACAAATATTCAGTATAGTATTGCTATTTTTTGTAAGTTTTTTTATTACATTAGTCGTAAAAACTTCGATTTTTTTTCTTGTTTGTATTCCGTGAGTACAAAAAAAATGGCGGACTCCGACTGTTTTGAATCTGTTGAAGAAAGCTCTTCAGTAGGCAGAGGTTATGAGTCTGACTTCTCCACAAGAGGTATGTCTGATAATTCTATAGAAAGGGAGAGCAAAAAACGCAAATGTGCAACCCCTAGTCCAAATAAAAGTTACTCACACACAATCCAAACCCCAGCCACAGTCCGATATAGACCATTACGCAAAGCCCCTCGACCCTCTGTCCCCGACAACCAGCATATCATTATCAGTGCTAGAGGTGTTCGCCTAGCAGAACAAAATCCCATCAAAATTAAAAAAAATATTTCAAAGGAGTATGGAATAGTTAAAAATATTAGACCAATAAGATCTGGTAACATTATTGTACACTGTATGGATGGTATGCAACTAAAACAACTGATGAAAGCGACTCAGCTAGGAGAATGGCAAGTCAAGTGCTCTAAACCACAAAGTCTTCTGAGCTCACAAGGATGCATATATAATGTACCTCAGGAATATTCTGAGGAAGACATTAAATATGCATTTAATGAATATGGGGTCACAAAAGCCACAAGGCTTACATATTATGACAAACAACAAGCCAAAAGAGTACCCTCTAGAACTATAAAATTGTTCTTTAGCATACCACAAATGCCAACATCTGTATGCATTGGGTTTCTAAAGTACAGAGTTAAACTTTTTGTACCCAAGCCACTCCAATGCTATAATTGCCAACAGTTTGGCCATGTTGTTACAAATTGTAAAAGGGATAAAGCATGTGTAAAGTGTAGTTTAAGACATGAAGGCCAGTGTAATACTGATACAGTAGTGTGTGTAAACTGCAAAGGTCCTCATCAGGCAAACTCCAAAGATTGTCCTAAAAGAGTAGAAAAACAAAAAGCTCTCAAAAAGAGCAAGGAATTAAAAATATCAATCGGTGAAGTCACCAAAATTGTAAAAGGTGAAGACACTAAGACCTTAGTTGCTGAGAAAGAATTAAATATGCAACATATCAGTAAAACAAAAACCCACAAAAAATCTATAATGGGTGAAGTAAATACTACTGTTTCCCAAATGGTTTCAATAATGACTATTGCAATAACTCATATTATTAATGCTCCAAAAGAGAGAATTACAGTTGAGAATGTAGCAAAGTACATCAGTGAAGTGGCCAAAACTCTAAACTTGTGTAATGTTGACACAGATCAAATGAATCATTATATTGAGAAAAGCCAGTCTATCAGTATATAAAATTCAAAATAATCAATATATATACATATATACTAAATAAGTATTAACTTGAAGACCATCATTACTAACATCATGTATTTTATAATTATATTATTTACAATAATGACTAGTTCATTTGTTATACATCAGTGGAATTGCCATAGCTTTCATAGCAATGGTCCAGAATATCTATGGAATTTATCAAATTCATCTACTTATCCAGATGTATTATGCCTACAAGAAACTTGGTTTAAAAATGAAAATGACCTAATCGAAATTAACGGTTACACAGTTGCAGATTTCTCAGTTAGAGATGGCATAAAGGGGGATGGCACAGCTATATATGTCAAAGTAGACATCCCATACTCTAAGAAAGTAATAACTTCAAAATTTGAAACTTCTGTTGCTCAAATATCAATAAACAGTGATATGGTCACCATTATTAGCCTATATGATGCATCAACAGACACAAAAGAAGATGATTATATAAATCTCTTGAATCAAATTGAAGGTAAATTTATTATCTGTGGTGACTTTAATGCTCATCATTATCCATGGGGTAGTAATAAAACTGACACTAAAGGTAACTCATTGCATAATGCTATTAGTACCAATAATATTATAGTTTTAAACCCCTCCGATCTACAATTGTCATGTATTGATATATCAATGTCTAGTGTACAGCTAGCACACCAAATAACGTGGACAGTAGATAATAAATCCTTATATGGTAGTGACCATTTTGTAATACAATTATCATTGAATCAAACCTCATCGTGTTCAAACAGCGAACACGAGTTGATTTGGAACTATAAAAAAGCTAATTGGGATGGGTTCGCCAGCTCATGTCATAAACAACTTAGTGAGAGCATGGTTACCGACAATATTAATGAATCATGTACACATCTCACTAACACTATCATTAAAATTGCTGGTGAGCGCATCCCTTCCAAGAAAAGGAGGAAAAATAATAAACCAGAGGTACCCTGGTGGAATGAAAACTGTACAAGGGTGGTAAAAGAACGCAATAAAGCTCGTAACAAGGCCAGACATACGGGGGGTGGACATGATTATTTATTATACAAAGAAAAAGAAAAGGAATGTAGAAATACTATTAAATTAACACAGCAACAATATTGGGAAAACTTCTGCAGTGGATTGAATAATAATAATAATATAGGGCAAGTATGGAATACAATTAAGAGAATGATGGGTAAAACAATTAATTCTCTAATTATGCCAACTTTGATTTACAAAAATAAAATATATGAATCTACTAAAGAAAAGGCTAATATATTAGCTGAAGCATTTGCCAATGTAAGCAGTTCAAGTAACTATTCAGAAGCATTTATATCACATAAAGAACATATTGAGTCTCTAGAAGCTGAAAAGTTGAAAGAATATTTTTCTGAAAACTCCCAAAGTTATAATGAACCATTTACCCTTAATGAATTACAGGATGCTATTGCTGATACATCAGATACATCTCCTGGTAAAGATAAGGTTACCTATAGTATGTTTAAAAGCTTTAGTGATAAATCACTTGGTGTACATCTTTTATTATATAACAGAATTTGGTTCTCACAAGATCTTCCTCTGTCTTGGAAACATTCAATAATAATTCCAAGCTTTCAAAAGGGGAAAGATTCAAGTGACCCACATTCATATAGACCAATAGCTTTAACATCTAATTTTGTAAAAATTATGGAAAAGATGATTAATAACAGACTGAGGTGGTACCTTGAGAAAAATCATATTTACTCACCTTATCAGAGTGGATTTCGTCAAAATAGAAGTACGATGGAACAAATAATTAGACTTGATAACGATATACAAAAATCATTTTTAAAAAAAGAATATTAAGTTGGAGTAGTTATTGACTTCCAGAAAGCATTTGATATGATATGGAAGTTTGGATTTCTAAACAAAATGGTTAAAATTGGGATAAAGGGTAACATGCTCGGTTGGGTTAATTGTTTTCTCACTAACAGAACAATACAGGTCAAAATAAATAACACTCTTTCTGATACTCTCACGATCCAAAATGGTACCCCTCAAGGAAGTTGCATCAGCCCGACATTATTCAATATTATGGTAAACGATCTCCCCTCATGTATTAATAATTGTTCTATTTCCCAATTTGCAGACGATAGTGCAATATGGTTGTGTGGTAAGAATATTGGTTATATTCAAAGGAGAATACAGAAAGATCTTGACAATATCAAAACATGGTGTGATAAATGGGGATTTCTCATTTCCCCCTCTAAAACTGTAGCTATTGTGTTTAGTAGAAAGAAAAAGTCTGAGAAGTTATTATTTACGTTAAGTAACAGTTTATTACAAGTAGTCAATGAGGTGAAATTTTTAGGAATAATTATTGATAGTAAATTGACTTGGTTAAAACATATACAATACATAGAGGCAAAATGCAGTAAAGTCTTAAATTGCATGAAACTTCTAACAGGTACTAAATGGGGAGCAAACAGCCATTCTCTTAGAAACATATATATTGCACTTATAAGATCTAAAATAGACTACGGTTGTGAAGTATATAATTCCGCCTCACATTCCGTAAAGAAAATACTGGACCGGGTGCAAAGTCAAGCACTTCGAATTTGTACCGGTGCATATAAAAATGTAGCCACAAGTGGACTGCAAGTAGAAATGGGTGACCCACCCTACGAAGAACGTAGGAAGTGTCTTATTACAAAATCTTTCTTGAACATATCTAGTCATGAAGATAACCATCCAACTAAGGAAAGTTTAGCAAAAAAGGCAACATTTCTTTGCTACTCCAGGGAAATAAAACAGAATAAAAAACCATATTTTATTGTTTCAAAAGATATGATTAATCAACATGATATAGATATTAACCAAATATATAAATACAAACAATTCCCAACACCCCCTTGGCATTTGACTAAACCCCGTGTATGTACACAACTCACAAATCTCATCTCGAAAAAGGACAATCCACACTTAATTCGAAGTGAAAGTAACTTCATGATTGATACGCAGTATCGCCAGTTTTTAAAAATATATACGGACGGATCTAAAGATCCAAATTCTAATAAAACCTCATGTGCATTTGCAATACCTGAAATGGGAATAAAAAAAGGTTTCAAACTGCCTAAGAATATGTCAATTTTCACTTGTGAGCTTATAGCAATATTTCTGTCTCTTATATGGTTAGAAGAATTCAAACCAAATAATGTTATTGTGTTTGTCGACTCTTTATCAGCTCTACAAGCCTTAAAGAGTAATTTATTTAAGGTAAAAAATTATTTATTGTACGATATTATATTTTTATACAACCAGTTAGTGAAACTAGGTAGCAACATAATATTTGAGTGGATCCCAAGCCACGTCGGAATTTTAGGAAATGAAATTGCAGACCAGACTGCCAAAGTGACTCTTAATAAAGGTACAATAGATTGTCATATTCCCCTATATAAGGAAGACATCAAATGTTTAACAAAAAACATTTTAAAACAAATTTGGCAAAAACAGTGGTCAGACAACCCAAAGGGAAGATTACTACACTCCTTCCAAAATAATGTATCTTTTAAGATTACTATTCCACAAATGAATAGAGAAAATGAACGAATAATATTCAGATTAAGATCTGGCTCTATAAATGTCAATAAATATCTTCACAAAATAGGGAAAAGCCCGAGTGAAATTTTTGAAAACTGCAAAGTCACAGACGATGTTGCACACTTTCTATTAGTCTGCTCAAAATATGATGTGCAACGAAAACAGATGTTTGATACGCTTAAAAAAAAATGGAGTCATAGATCTCTCATTGAAACACCTTCTATCCGGATATACACAGACTTTTAGTCCCGTGCATAACTATCTACGGGAAACTAATATACTTATAAGAAAATAGGAAGACTCTCAACTATAAGTGTCATTTAGCTTTAGTTTAGATATTTAAAATAAATAATTATGTATTTGGAACCAGTGTATATGAATTATTTCTCAGATGGTCCCTCAAGTTAAATTATTTCATCAAGTTATACAACCAGCAAGATTAAAAATAAAAGAAAAACTCACCCGAATATAAAATCATTTCCTTTTTTAATATCCATAGAATAATGATAAGTAAGTCACAAGTGCAATGCACACGTCACCTTTGTGTCAGTCCATTGAGCGTAATCAAACAGACTTTTTTCTACCTGTGTCAAACATCAGTAAATCAATCACCTTTCAAACACCAGTACTAATTGACCATGAAATGCACGCAATTAATTTTAACAAGTATCAACATTCAATTTAAACACACTGATCTATTGAAGATTAGTACGCTAGATAAGTTAACATTATATATTAAGGGAAAATACAACATCACCTTAAGATTCTCTATAATGGACAATTAGAAATTAAGAAATAAAAACAACAAACACAACACACTATGCTCATATATTTAACAATAGAAACATTTGCTACAGGCTTCTTTTTTTATGAAAGTGCCACTAACATTTATCTTAATGTTAAAAGATTGAAGGAAAAGCAAGAACAAAGGAAAATACAATTTGTCTTTTCAGATCTTCACAAACTGACAATTATAGTCATATTATTAGAAAATAAGAAAAACAAACATACACAATCATTAAGCTCATATATTTTTTAGAATAGAAACAAGTGCTAAATCCTTTTCTATGACAATAAAATGATAAAATCTAAAATTTGTACTAGAGGATGCATATGTCAGTTAGACAAACACACACAGATTATTGTATATATATATGCACATCCCAGCACTTCTGTTTCGCTGACATTCTCTGTACTTACAACAAATTCAAACAATTGCATTGTTTTAATAATATACTGGTATTATTTTCTTTCATATTTTTCTATTTTTACTCCATTTATATATTACACACATATATATATATATCTAAATAGGCGATTAAGGGTGTAGGTAGGGGTGATTTCTCATTCAATGACAGAAGTGTTTTTTTTTTCTCGTCAGGGAAGGAGGAATCACTAAATACCAGTATGTCTTTGGAAATTTATTTGGAAAAAATTAACGGAACTTGTCGTTATGGAAAGGGAAAAACTACAATCAATCCTTACTTAAGGATTCTTTATTTGCTACATCAATCGTGGGAGACGTCCTTACATTGGTAGCATTTAACTAGCACATGTCTTGTTTTATGTTTCTAAATATACTTTTTTTTATAAGCATATCACAGACGACACAAAGGTGAACAACCAGATGAAATTTCTAAACAATTGTATGATACCTATCAATTAATAATGTACATTTCATTAGGAAGTATCATTTGCTTTTTTTTCTCTCTCATTTTCCTATTACATGTGCCTTCTGTTATGTGTTTTTTTTTCTCTCTACATATAAATACTTTATTGTAACACAGTCAACCATATTGTCAAAGTTTCATATAATTACTCGCCAAAACGTAATACTAAAAATAAATTAAGGAATGAAAGTATATATACATAATATTTATGTTATATGAATTTAAAGCGCAATTACTACATAAGTAAGCCGCCTACCAAAACCAATAACAACAACAACTTATAATTATCTTATTACCAGAAATCACGACATTCTTAATGAATAGAAATTCTAAAAAAAAGAAAAAAAAGAAAGTTTATTACAGAATAACATTTCCAACGAAAGTTTAATTTTCTACTGCATGTTTTGTTACAGAATCAGTTAGAATTTACAGGAAATCTACGGATAGATTGGTTCAAGCAGCATTAACAGAAATGTGTTACACATTCATAACTTAATATATAATAAATGTGAAATACGGAAATCTAACTGGTTGTTTATAATACACATTTAATGTTTTATAACGGACTTACACAGAATAAATGCAACAGTGTAGTGTATGATAAAACAGAAACTTTAATTATATAATTTATTAATTCAAAGAATTAAGAATTTAAGAAAAACACTGAACAGGACTTCATTTACGAATAAACAATTAGGCGACAAATTTCAACTGAGTTCGCTATGATTATACAGTAACTGTGTCGAATTTATTCAGTTTTAAGATAGGATTGCCAATAAAAACTTGAAAAATCAATGGAGAATTTATCTAAAAATGGCACAAGCCTGCACGTTGCTGGTAAAAATATATTTAAAATCTACACTTTAGCAATTTTAGCAATAATTGTATTTCTGATATCAATTTTGAACATAGTATGTATTGGTGTGTTATTGAAATCTCCAGAATTAAAGAAAAGCAGATTTCATTGCTTAACACTCGGATTAAGTGTGGGAAATTTTTTGACAACGATTTAAATTGTGGTACTTTTAGCGAATACCTGTTTAGAAACCATTGGATTACACGTACCTTATCTCTGTATGATTCTTTCGTCATTAGTATACTGTTCAATAGTGTTTTTTTTTTTCTTTTTCAAATACTGTTTATATGCATCGAAAGATATTTTGCAACGTCCGTTACAATTGACAGAACGTCAAAATTACCAAAACGATTAACACAGAAGAAAGTGATGGTGCTGAT